TGTGGTAGATTTTTATTAATCCAAATAGGAATTAATCAAGTATAATCATTAGGAATATAGCCATTTATATATCTAGTTATACTTCCATTATAATCCATATGCCTGTGTGTAAAAACATGCCTACGTGGCAGAAGTACAGACCAAAGATTAGAAACATCTGGGAAACATAAGTGGGGTCTTTTCTTTACCATAACAAGACTAGAGAGGGGGGGCTTTCTCTCTAGAGAATTGTATGCACAAAGGAACCATTCTATGTATGGAAAAACTGTATGGAATATTTAGCCCACGCCTCCAAATCCAAATGTATAAAAAGAAGACAAGATGATCATTCTGGAGATGTGTTTTCGCTGCAGAGAGAGCCATCTCCGCTTTATTATTTATTATCATTGATGATGTAATAAAGTGTATCTACTGGCATCAAAAACAAGACTGAGTGTGGTTCCTAAGATGAGAAGCAGAAGCTGTTTTCAGAAAGCAAGTGCGTTTATCCCTGTTTTTTACAGTCTATGGTTTATCCACAGTGGTGAGAGAGCGCACCTGCACATGGTTGCCAGGTTGACAAAGATAAGTAGCACATTTAGCAGATATTTCCATATTCCGCAAGTGTGAAGCTCTGTTTCGAGGATTACGTCTCTTTATATCAGGCAGCCCAGTTGTTCCTCTGCGGCCAGATTAAACCTTGTTGTAGCCTATATATGCTCTATTCATTCTTTTTTAGAAACCTCGCACTTTTATACTCAATTTTAAATGTTGTAAAATTTTAAACCAATTAAGCGCGGTCCACTGCTGCACACGTGCCACAATATCGATACAGGGCCAGCTGTATCGATACTCGTATCGTCAAATCTCTGTGACGATACATCGTCGTATCGATATTTTGAACACAGCACTATTAAACACGTATTTATACCGATTTCATCAGGCTCCGAAAATTCTTCAAAAAGAACACAAAGAATGGCCTTCTCAGCTGCCATAGTTGCAACTCTTGCATCATCAGAACAGGGTGTTCAACGCACCACCGTTTCCGTTTAAAAAACGTTTTATCAGGGCTAAAAGCAGCCCTGATTTCAACTCTCCTCGATGCCCTCAACGTCCAAGTCGCGCCGCGCCGCTGTGTGGCGGTGTGAACGCACGGTAAGTGGGCTCCAGATAACTGCTCTGACTACGAGCTAAATCGTGGCTACGCACAGTAGGGATGGGCGATACCACTTATTTTGTTTTCGATACAATACCAATATTTACAGTGTGGTTTGGTAACCTATCAGTACAGTTTAAATCTAAGTTGATGCACTTGTTATTGACAGCATGGAGAATTGTTGGGCATGATGAACATTTTAACCTTCAAGTTTTATATGAGGAATGTGTTCTTAATCAGGTAGAGAGGATTCTTGGTGATCAAACTCATTTCTTGTATTTACAATATGAACTACTTCCCTCTGGTAGAAGATATAGAATCCCAATGTGTAAGTTAAATCGATATAAGAATTCCTTTGTACCTGTATCGATGCGGTTGTACAACAAGAGTTCATCTTGATTTTATTTTCATGATTTTTTTTTATTTGTTTTTTTTATATATGTTTATTGTATGTCTGCAGCAACATGTAGTCCATAACAATTTTCCTCTTGAGGACAATAAAGTATACTACTACTACTACTACTACTACTACTACTGCAATTACTCGCTAACAAAGGTTATTCGTCCAATTCAATGCATATTGTACGAATTTTTTTTGTTTGCTAAATTAACAAAATCACTGGTAAATAAAACACACCTTAGTATCAGTATTTTTTGTTTGATATATCGATACTTTGGATCGATACGCCCATCCCTAACGCACAGGCTAAACCAAACACCTTGTAAACGCTGTTGACTTTGTTTACATGATGGAATATCAAACATCTCACAAGTTATTTTGCCAAAAAACTACATGAAACCAAATTCAAGGTTATTTGGGCTAGAAGTGGGTTACACATAGCCGGACTATATCGGGTCTATACTTAACCGAGACGTTGAAATGACGGCTATTGGTTGCTGGGTATCCTGAGCTGGACCAACATATTTTTCTTATAGTGTAACAAGCCCTTCTTCAGATAAAATTATTACATCTTGGAAATGGCACCAAATAGTAAGAATGACCCTGCTTCTTCTGCTGCCGGCTTCCTCTACTTCATCGAGTCCCGCGCATCGGCTCTGTTCGGAACCGACCTGAGCTGATTTTTAACGAATTTTAATTAAATAAGAATTTTGAATAATAAAAATGAATTTGTGTCTATTAATCAGTGTTAGAACCATTAAAGAAGAAACCGCATTTTCCATATTTAATTTCTAGGTTAAAAAAGGAAAAATGAATGGACGCAAAAGTACACGGACCCATAATAAATGCTGCTGTCTAAGTAGGCAGTTCACTAGGTATTGAGCCACAGCCAGAGTTCTCTTTTGTTATTGGCTATGTTCTCCTCATGCTATGCTAATTCCGGTATACGTGCTTAACGGAGGATTAACAAACCTGTTACAGCCAACCCACCCCTCAAAATAGATGTCTTCCTGTAATAGGTATTGAACTGAAGGTTTATGTGCGCTGATGAGTGATTGTTAGGAAGATGTTATTATTAGCCGGCTATTCCCGAGAACTATTGTGTACTGGCTAGTTAACAACAGTTAGCCTGTTAGCATTAGTGTAAAAATGATGGAGGATACAGACACAGGGTGGACGTTAAACTAAAACACTGGATTCAATCACGACTTGGATGTTTTCATGTGATTACAATGACAGGTAAGTCTCAAACTAGTGTGATGTTGTCACTTGTAATGTTATTTATACTTGAAGATTATTTTTATGTAGCAAAGCAGTACTTTAAAACATTCTTCTGCTAATTATTATTCATTTGTCATTTTATTTCATAGACTAGACTCGTTGTAGAGATGAAACCTCTAAAGCATACTTTTACTTTGAGATGAACAGGTAAACTCTCAAGTAAACAGGTAACTTGTTAACAATATAATTGTGTAAAATATCATTGTGTCCATATCATGTTCTTTCTTATGTGTATTTAATATGTTAAGAGGTGGAGATGGCTCACTCATCAGGCGGATCTCAGGAGGGACAGACTGACACCAAAACACACACACACACACACACACACACACACACACACACACACGCAAGCAGGTGCCTCCTTCACCTTTTAATCTTTTTGTCCTGTGATTTTTAAAAGAGGATGCAGGCACAGTATCACTAATACCAGCTTTATTAATGTTAACTTGTTCATTATTTGTTACTTGCCAAAATTGATTTTTCTCTATTATAGATAAGTGACCTTTATATATTTTCTTTGGCTAATGTTGACTTTCGATTGTTACATCGAACATTTGGACACACTTGTGTATGTTGGGGGTTGGTGAGATTTTTTTATTAATGTTTTTAAAAGCGGCATAAGCTCACCAAGGCTACATTTATTTGATCAAATTATAGTAAAAACTACAATTTATTAAGATTTTAAATAACCATTTTTTATTTTAATAGCTTTTAAAATTTAATTTATCCACCTTTTTCCTAGCGAGCCTAAGTTTTAAAGAGGCTCTTCTGGTTTGGGGAAAAAGACTGAAACAAATTATTATTATTACTCAATGTTAATGAACATTTCTTATTAAGTCAACATGTTACAAAATATAGACATATATTAGGCTACTGTTGTGATATTTACTACATCTGTAAGATTGCTGAGGGAATACTTGACCTTTTTAGGGTTATTCACGGTAGGCTTTTACACTTTTAAATTTCCTTTTAATGATAGATGGTTGGAGCGTGAATAGAATAAGTTCACCTTGTGCCCAGTTTTTGAAAACTCCTATTACAGCATTCATAGAGCGAACTATGGAGTCAATTCATTGCCACATATACTTGCAAAATAATTGAATTATTGCAAAAGAAAATAAAGTTTTGTAAACGAAAATGAAAGTATTTAGAAAAAAGAAATGTGCAAACAAAAATAAAGAATTGCAAAATATAAATGAAACAGAGCAAAAGCATTGATTTTGCAACACATGTTTTCCATGGCCATAGCTATTCATTTATTTGCAAGGCTGCTTTTATTTTGCGTTTCAGTCAAGTGTGAGCTCGCGATATCGTTTTTTTCCCTATTATGCTTCATGTTTCTGTGCATTTCACTTTCAGGCATTGGTTTGACATGGGGGTGGAGTCAAGGGACTGGGGCTTGTACAACAAGACTGGACATGCCTCCCTGGAAGTTACTCATCATCCTGAGATGCAGATCACAACTGATCAAGGCACCGTCATTGAGCGGAGGCATGCGTGTAGATTTCCTTCATTTTTCATTTACATAACTCCTGACATAAATTAAGAAATTACTGTCACTGTTTTTAATGATGTATAGTTTATCAAGTTAATTAGCCTAAATTATTTTACATGAAAACTAACAGTAACTTTGAACTAATGTAAACCAAGAACACTTCTGTGTGCTGGCGACCTCCCACAGGTTAACAGATTTTAAGCAAACACTGTTAAAACACAGAATGTGAAACACGCAGAAACCTGAAGCGCAAAGGGAAAAAACAGTATTGCAAGCTCACACTTAAATGAAACGCAAAATAAAAGCAGCACTGCAAATAAATTAGTAGCTATGGCTACTATATGCAAAATCATTGCTTTTGCTCTGTTTCATTTATATTTTGCAATTATTGCTTGCAGAAAGCACATTTATATGTTCGAAAATACTTTCATTTTCTTTTGCAATACTTCAATTCTTTTACAAGTATATGTGGCATTAAATTGACTCCATAGGTATTGCTTTTATAAAACAGTTAGCATGCACTTAGCCCACCCATTAAGTAAAAATTTTACAAACAAAATCAAAACATTTTGAAACTATTTCTTTGGCACAGTAATACTGATAGCAGAACGGTTGCCAAGCAACACACAGACGTGTTGGCACAGTAATACTGATGTAATGAGGTAACAGGAGTATGTTTCTATAGTAATTTACAACGGCTTCAAATTTTGGCTCAACCAATCATAATAAAGGACTGGAACTATCAGTTTTATAATTTTTGTCTTTTTTTTTTTACATTAAATTTGACCTTGCTGAGTTTCCTTAAAATAAATAAATAAAAATAAATAAAACAAAACCTTACCGAACACAAACTTTTGAACAGTAGTGTACTCCTTCATTATTACCATTTTGCTACATTTTGGAATAATTGTAAAGTCTATGAAACCTATGAAAGACCAAAAAGTATGGGAGGAGAAATACACTTTTTGGCTGCTTTTCCTTCACTGTCCTGTCTGACGCATCCATTAAAAACTATCCATTTTAATAAGATAACACTTAATTTTTACACTGTCCTTGTTACACATCTTACTGGTAGTAGTAATAACAGTAAATTATGCATAATAACAAACAATTAACCCTCAACCAAACCCTAACATTAATTTTGTAGTAAGTACAAGTTGTTAATTAATATATACTATAAAATAAAGTGTAACCATTAATAATTAATAAATAGCAGAATTCATGCATGTTGGCAGAAGCCTTTTGATCAGAAGATTAAAAGTTAAGATCATTCAAACGTTTGACCGTTAATGTCAGTTTATATTAGAGTGCATTTGTTAAAATTATCAAACAGGATCAGAAGAAGTCAATAACATTGCGGTTTCAGCATTTGCTTGTATCCCAAACAGAAAAAATGGACAGTTCTCTTGGTGACAGTCCTGAAAATCACTGTTCTAATCATGGACAGGTGAGACCCAATCACTCATATTTTCATACACAACTGTGTATTGCTTAACTAATTTACAGCATGTTATTTGCCGTTCTTCTTATCATCACTGCACATCTGTGAACTTTGATGTAAATTTCTTTCAGTCTTTCTAGAATTAGAAATGAGGAGCAAAGGTGTCCTCACACATGTATAATTTTTATTAGTTTTTTCTGGTGTGTGTTTTTCACAGAGGAGGCCAAGTGACTGTTCAGAGATACTTCCTGAGGAATATATTTCAAATTACAAATATGATGGTAGGTTTTGTGTTTAGCTTTCTTGAACATTCAATAATGTTACATATCACTTGAATGCAGAGGTCATGACTCATTATTACTCAGCTGATAGTGTGCTGCCAGAATGAATTATAAAACCTGGAAATAAATTCAAATTTGATTCCTTCGTTCCAATGTCAATGGGGTTTTTTAGAATAGGTTTTTGCTTAAATGTCTGAAATAAGGTCTATAGTTAACACAATCTCAAGGTATTTTCATCTTTCATTCTACAACATAAAATAAATCAGTAATACACCACTTATTGTTGCTTTTTTCTTGTCTTCAAAAAGATGGTTGCTAAACAAGTGGGTTAGTGGGACAACTGTATACAGCCCACCAGGGCACCATACAGATTTCATAAGATATGTCTTAATATATGAAGATAATTTTACGAACAAAACGTGCAAGAATCAAAAACGATAAAAACGACGTGCGGGCTTTCACATTGAGCAGCATTAACTACACAGAGCCGTTGTTCACTGACGAGCTGCGCAAAACCACATTCATATTCGCACGATTTTTTGCGCAGCTCGTCAGTGAACAACGGCTCTGTGTAGTTAATGCTGCTCAATGTGAAAGCCCTCACATGATGGAGATTTACCGCTGATTACAGAACCGGCTTTCTGACAAGATGCGCATTAAATATCGCATGCGATTTATCGTGCAGCCCTAGAGCAGAGTAACATTAGGCAAAGGAGGGGTTTGGAAAGATGAGTCTTCAAATGAATCATTTGAGAGTTGTTGAGAAATAAAGTAAAATTAAATGTATATTATAAGAAAATGAAAGTGTTTTTTGACCTTGCATGCATGTGAACCTGTTGTTGGGGACACCCAAAACCAAATTATAAACATTTCAAATAGCATAATAGGGGCACTTTAAGCAATAGAGGCACAAAGCATTTCAAGTATTTTTGATGTTTTGGGCCAATTTTAGAGCACATTGTTTTCATTTGTCTTGCATCTCCTAGTAATGAGGCATATATTTCTGTGTGAGTTTGTTGTTAAAGTCTGGTAGTGTGTGAAAGTCTTCAGTCATTAGTGTGTGATGCCCAGTTTTTCTCTGTAACCGTTTACAAAGTCTGCAAGTGAATTATTTTAAACGTTGTTTAGTGTAATCAAGCCTTTACTGAAAGAAATCTGATAAAACAAAGATTTCCCCCCCCTTATTAGAAGTATATTCAGCCATTCATTCATTTTCCCAACTGCTTTTCCTATGTAGTGTAAGGACAGAGGGATGCTGGAGCCTGGATGAATGGCCAGTCTTGGAAAGATTTTATCAGTATTTCTACAAATCGACATTTGATGGCAAACTTTCAGACCTCTTCTAAGGGATGGCTTAATTTAGACTAAATCTGATACTTGCAACCAATTATTGTGCATATTTATTTTCTTAGAACATTTCATCTTTGACTTGGGTAACTTGTAAAAATTAGGAACCTCATACAAAGTAAATGTAAAGTAAAATTCCACATAATTAATTTGACCTCAAAAGGTGGATGAGCAACATTATCAGAAGGTTATGTAGCTTCTCTCTGATGATATTCAGAATAAGGACAAAAAACATGACTTGCTAATGACTGTTTTAGTTGCAAACCCTGTTTTATGAGTTTTCACAGAAACTTTTTTTTTTGTTCATTTGTTCATATTTCTGTTTTCTCCCAGCTTCCTGGTACCAGGGCCCGTTCACCAAATCCCTCCAGAGGGCAGAGGCTCTGTTTCGTAACCGTTTTAACCCTAGTCTGAAGTGGCTCATGGGGCAGAAGGACAAAGATGGCAGCTGGGACTCTGAGAATGAGAGCATCGCTTCCTTTTCCTCCAGAAATATGGAATGCCTTGGGAAAACTTTACAGAGTTTCAGCTCTCAATGCCACATGCTCCGTGATCCTGCACCAGGAGGCAGGCTGTTTGGCTGTATCATGGGTCTTTCTTCCTCTGAGGAAGATGATTTTCACCACCAACCTCAGGCTGCAGCCTTCAGCCAGCATTACTGTCAGCTACAACACCTGATGGACCACAGAGGTCAGCTGCTCTTCCTCCATGAGTACAGCCGTCGCACACATGTGGCCACCTGCTTTGTGGTGCAACTGGACTCAGTGTTGGAGAAGACGCATCTCCTTTTGGCTGACAGGGGGCAAGTAGCTGAGCAGCCCAACTCTACATGGAACCTCAGCCTTAGTGCTTTGTGCCAAGAAATGCAGGTTCATGTCAACCACTGGGATCTACTCTGGGCCAAAGCTCGAGCTGACTTCCATCTTCGCCGTGTTCTTTTCAGGCGTGTGAAGACCCTTGCTTCCATGCAGCGAACTTTACACTTGCTGGGCTTCCAGGCCTTGTGGTTGATGGAGCAGTGCATCCACACTGCACTTTCTGCTTTGGCTGCTGCCCAGCTGGACTGTGTGCCCAGAGATGCCTTAGTGGACCTGCTGTGTGCGGTTGAGCTGTACAACCAGATCGCAGAAGACAAGTGGATCCAGGGTACAACATCTGCCTGTGACTCACAGCTCATGTTCAGCTCATACTGGCCCCAGCTGGGATCTGTTTTGCTTAAAAACATAACTGGTCCTAAAACATTCCCAGTTGAGCAGTTGATGATGATTCTGGCCCAGAGTCAAGCTCAGAAATCAGCTGAACAACTTTACACATGGTCTTCCCAGCAGAGTTACCTCCTCCATATGGCTAAAAACCCCAACAAACTTAAGAGTCTCTTTGCACACCCTAATCTCAATAGTCAGCTTTCATCATCACCCACAATAAACATACATACAGTACAACTTGAACCTCAATCTACTGTTAATGAGGTGCCCCAAAAGCCCCTTCACAGCCTCTGGTCCTCGAATCTTCCATTCTCTTCGTTTATCTCGAGAGACAGAGAGTGTCTCAATACCTTCTTTGAAGTCTTAGTGACCTCAACAAATCTCTTAGCTCCACTTATTCCCAGAAAACCTCTGTTAAACAGAATAGCTGATTTGGAGGATTCTGTGGTGATTTGTCGTGGGGCCAGTGAAGGAGAAGAGAGACTGCTAAACAGACCCAGAATGACCTCCAGGAACTACAACGTGGCCGCGATGGATCTCAGGAAGTCTGATGCATACATGAAGCTTTTCTCTTATTATAAGAAGCTGCTGTGGGGGGAATTTGGTAAAGCAGTTGTAAGTCACTTTTATTATCAGCCATGCAACAGCACTCTGGGAAGTATCAACCAGTGGAATGATGAAATGGTGCTTCATTTGGTCACATGGCTCAAACATTCATATATTGAAGGTACTGATGTGCTGGTGGGGTTGAAGTATCAAATGATAAAAAAATGTGTGTAATGTGTTTAGAAAAGAAATGCAATGCTAATGGTTGAATCTCACAAAGAAATGACTGGATCATATTTCACCTCAAAATCAAAAGATAAAGAAAGTATCTTTTTACATAAATTAAATATAGTCATGATGTACACTACTGTTCAAAAGTTGTTGTGGCCAACACAGATCCTGCAGTGTTGTGCTGCTCAATATTTTTGTGGAAACTGTCATAGATTTTTTTTTTTTTTATGATTCTTTGAGGAAAAGAAAGTTAAAAAGAATAGCATTTATTTGAAATATAAATATTTTGTAACATTATAAATATCTTTACTATAACTTTTGATCAATTTAATGCATCCTTGCTGAATAAAAATATTAATTTCTTTCAAAGAAAAGAGATTTTACTGACCCGAAACTCTTGAATGATGTTACATGTTTTAATTGTATTTTACAAATATACTTTACAAATAATTATGTAAAATATCTCAAAAATCTTTTCTTTATGTAAAATATTTGCTTTTGTTTTAGCCAATAACAGATATGAAGAAGTCTCTTCTATGCTTGTTTTTGCGTATAAAAACATTTTAGTGTAGAGTAAGAAATTTACATCTCTTAAATATTTTTGAGACTTGCCATAGAAAGTATTTGCTAATACCTATAAAGTTACTGATACTCTATATTGTGCATCTCTAGTATTTTAAGCTCAAATACTCTTTCCTGGATTCTGACATTTCTTATTCTGAAATTAAAGGGGTGTTTTCAAGATTTTATTAGATTATTTTTCATTACTTTTTTTTTGTCTTTGTAGACCTCATTCCACAAGAATGTAAAGGAAATTTGAGCAATTTCTGCTCTTATATGTTATCTGCTGCTGCCTTCACACAGTGGGATGAAAGTGAGTTATATTAACAAAATTATGACTATTTAGATGTAAATGACTATTCAGTGAAATGATTGACAATTGAAGTGAAGTTGGTTTTAATTGTGTCCTGTTGTATTGTAGTGATGTGTTTGTCGCTGGGCTCAGGGCTAAAAGAGAAGTGTGTCCCTGGATTTAAACAGGAAAGATGTTCAGTGAGGACAGCCACAACGGATCTCATCCTCCTGCTCTTCCCACCTCTGCATATTGTTCTTCAGCTACTGCAATGCCCAGACGTAGAGTCAGGTACACAATGTTACACTTTTGTCATTATCAGTATGATAAATAGAATAGGGTTGTCATGATTTTATTAGTTGATGCTACACTGCCGTTCAAAAGTTTGAAGTTAATGTTTAAAAGTTTCTTGCTCACGAAGCCTGCATTTATTTGACCAAAAATACAGCATTTGCTGATTTGGTGCTTCAGAAACATTTCTTATTCATTGTGGAAAACAGTGTTGCTTAATATTTTTGTAGAAACCGTGAAACATTTTTTTGTAATAATGTAAAAGTCTTTACTGTCACATTTGATCAATCTAATGTGTCCTTGCTGAATTAAAATATAAATTTGTTTCTTTCTAAAGAAAAAAAAAAAAGTACTGATCCCAAACTTTTGAATGGTAGTGTACAGTCATGGCCAAAGGTTTTGGCAGTGACATAAATTTTGTGTTTTGCAACGTTTGCTGCTTAAACTGTTGTGGTGTTCATTCACATTGTGTCTAGATTATTTTCCAGAGTGATCAGATGCATTTAACATTTTCTTTTTTCACAAAAAAACTAATTTCACTGTTTTTTGATCCTGACACAAAATGAGCAGCTAACATTAATTGACTAATCATATCAGCAGCACATGTGAAAGTGTGAATGAGCTATCATACTAGTTAGATTGTAAGAGCAGACTGATTGCTATTAAAGGAGGGAAGAAGCACTTCCAATCATTGTGTTCTTGTTAGCAATGGTTACCGCCAAAGAAACACGTGTAGCCATTATCGCTTTGCATCAAAATGGCCTCTCATGCAAGGAAATAGCTACAAAGAATATTGCACCTGAAAGAACCATTTACCGGATCATCGAGAACTTCAAGGAGAGAGGTTCGACTGAAGTGAAGAAGCCTTCAGGACGTCCCAGAGTGTCCAGCAAGCGCCAGGACCGTCTCCTCCTGAGGAGTCAGCTACAGAATCGTGTCACCAGCAGTGCAGAGCTTGCTCAGGAATGGCAGAAGGCTGGTGTGAGAGCATCTGCATGCACAGTGAGGCCAAGACTTTTGGACAACAACCTGGTGTCAAGAAGGGCAGCAAAGAAGCCACTTCTCTCCAAAAAAAATGCCAAGGACCGACTGAAATTCTGCAGAAAGTACAAGGATTTAACAGCAGAAGTCTGGTGTAAAGTTATTTTCTCTGATGAAGCTCCCTTCCGACTGTTTGGGACATCTGGAAAATCGATTGTTCGGAGAAGAAAAGGTGAACGCTACCATGAGTCCTGTGTTGTGCCAACAGTGAAGAATCCTGAGACCATCCATGTGTGGGGTTGCTTTTCAAAAAGGGAGTGGTCTCTCTCATAATTCTGCCCAAAAACACTGCCATGAATAAAGAATGGTATCAAAACGTCCTGCAAGAGTGATTTCTTCCAACGATCCATGAGCAATTTGGTGATTATTCATACATTTTCCAGCATGATAGAGCACCGTGTCACAACGCAAGAGTGATAAAAAAGTGGCTCGAAGATCATTTCATTGAAATTTTGGATCCGTGGACAGGCAAATCTCAATCCCATTGAGAACCTGTGGTCAGTCCTCAAAAGACGAGTGGACAAGCAGAAGCCCACAAATTGTGATCAACTCCGAGAACTAAGGCAAGAGCGGATCGCCATCAGTCAGGATTTGGCCAAGAAGCTAATATCCAGCATGCCAGAGCGAATTGCAGAGGTTATGAAGAACAAGGTTCAACACTGTAAATATTGACTCATTATATTTTTTGCCAATAAAAGCCTTTAAAACTTATGATATGCTTATCATTGTTTTTCAGTATACCATAGAAACATGTGAAAAAATAATATACAAATACTGAAGCAGCAAACTTTGCAAAACACAAAATTTATGTCACTGCCAAAAATTTTGGCCATGACTGTATACTCTTTCAAATAATATACTAATAAAAATAGTAATGTAAATAATGATTACAATTAATAATAACATAACTACTGCAGAAACTGTCAAAATGTGTTAATTGAAAAAATTGTTTAATATGTTTTATATTATTATTTTATTATTTACTTGGTAACAAATTACCAGTACTTTTATATTCCTAGTTTGGACACTGTTCAAGGTACGTAAGATCACACAACCTCATCCTGCTGGCACTTAATTAAATGTGTGATGTCTTTCACTAGTTGACAGTGGATCCAAGAGCCTTAAGAAAAATCATCTGGGATTGCTGTGTAGGTCTGTTGCAACTGTCCAGTCCTGTACTGTTTGGGTTATGAGTAAAGCCTACCAGTTTCTGGCGTCCTGGTCCCTTACTAAGTTCCTGCTGGTCACACAAGGAGATCTTAAGGTAAATTGACCTTTAAACTTTACTGAAATACTTCCATGCATAAATATGCATCTTTTTGATGCAAGATATATTCTGATTTTGATTAACTTTTATTTGTCTTTGTTTTAAGGATCTCAAGGACTCAGTGGAGGGCCTGGTCTACCTCACTCAAGCTGCTGGCAGAGATTCAGTTCACCCTCTCATAATTCAGCAGACAGCCTCACTCTCTAAGGCACTTACAGATCTGCAAGTGAGAAATTCTAGCATCATTACACAATTATTGCCTAACCATTATTAAAGGGTTAGTTCACCCAAAAATGAAAATTCTGTTTTAATTTTCTCACCCTTATGTAATTTCAAACGTGTATGACTTACTTTCTTCTGTGACGATGAAATGAAGATGTTTTGGTGGTATCCAAACCGTTTTGGTGACTATTGACTTACTGACACTGAGACATTTCTTCAAAACATCTTTTATGTTACACAGAAAATAATACAGGTTTGGAATGACATGAGGGTGAGTAAATGGTGACAATTTTTATGTGTGTCTCTTGGTATGATACAAAATCAAATTGTGTGAATTATTGTTCAAAAGTTTGGGGCCAGTAAGAAATAAATTAATAGTTTTATTCAGTAAGAATGTATTAAATTGGTCAGAAATGAGAGTAAAGACTTCATTACAAAAAATTCTGTAAAAAAAATTCTGTTCTTTTGACCTTTCTAAGAATCCTGAAAAAAAATTGATCACTGTTTCCACAAAAATATGAAGCAGCTCAGGTGTTTTCAACATAATAATATATAACAAGAAATGTTTGTTTGAGCAGCAAATCAGCATATTATAATTATAATAAACAGAATAATTTATTCTGAAGGAACATGCTGAGTAATGATGCTGAAAATTCAGCTTTGCCATCACAGGAATATATTACATTTTTTAAATTTATTAAAATAGAATTTAGTTATTAATTTAATTTATGTTAGTTATATTAAATAATTTATTAATTTAGTTATATTCAATATGAAATAATATTATAATAATAACAGTATTCATTCACAATAACATCAGTATTCAGTATTTTTTACTGTTTTCAATCAAAATAATGCTGCCTTGGTGAGTATAAGAGACTTCTTTCAAAAGCTTAAAAACGATAGATAGATCAATAGATGGTGAATACTGATGGCATTAACATTATAATGTAACAACAGAAAAACATTAAAATAATACATATGTCCTCTTTAATAAAATGCCAAATTATTATTTTTTAATGCGGTATGACTTATGCTGTTTGTCTGATATTGCAGGCTTTCTCTGATCTTGTCCTGAGGACCTTTTCTATAGACTGTAAGAAAATGTCTGTGGAGATCTTTGAGCAAACCATGCCGTCAGGAAAGCATTGGAGGATCAATCACAAAACCGGTACTGACGCAATGAATGAAAATCCACAGTGGGTTGTGTCTGCTTGTAGACTGCTACATCCTCCTAAATATTTTTCAAATGCTGTACATTATTTTTAGAGCTGCCCAGCAGTCCTAGTGATTATGCAGCCTCTGCAGCTCAGATTGTGATTGGTCAGGTGCTGGAGGGTGTTCAGCCTCTGCCTGATGATGCTCGTATTTCTGCTCTCACTGAGGCTATGACGGCTTTCATGGAGGCCTGGATGGAGCACATCCTCAAACAGAAGATCAAGTTTAGGTTAGTAAACCTAGTGGTGGAGCAATGGTCTTACTGTAGCGGTTCATGTTCCATTCTTACTTTCACTGTTCATTTATGTGAATTCTTCATTCACACTAGTATTCAGGGAGCTCTGCAGCTGAAGCATGACTTCGACTTGATTCGAGATCTCATTCGTTCAGAGGAATACAGCCTCTCAGAGGAGCTGCACCAGAAGCTGCTGTCACTACATGTTTTTCATCAGGTGGATAATGCAATCGTGTGCCTACTTCAGCAGCCCATGGCAAAACCTTACCTGCCCTCTCGCAGCTGGGAGCCCTTCAGACACTGCTGTGAGTTCTTTCAAATTAAAAATGAAGAAAGAAAAAGAAAAAAAGCATGAATTGCATTTTTTTATTATTTCATAATGTTTCCTGAGGTGTACTTACAATGTTAGTTTTTTTTTAAAACATCAAATTACATAAAATTGTCATAATTTACAGTGTTTCCCTTAGACTTGCACTATATTTGTGGTGGCAATTTCCTGGAATTTATAACTTCGATACAATAAAATATCGACGTTCAATACCATTTTTGATACCACGGGGGGAAACTGCCACAACTTTAAGGGCAAAAAATATTAGATTTTTATTGAAAGATAAATATAACAAGGCTAGAACTTGACAATGAGGTATATTTTTACATTAATGAAAGCTTATGAGGTGGTAAAACATTGGAGAAAAACTTATAGATTTGCATGTGTTTGCTTCAGAAAGAAGTATTATTTTTATAATTTTTTACCAGTGTGAGCATTAGTGAGTACTGTCATGTAATGTATGTTTCATTCATACTGGAAGCCCGAGGGCGCCCTTGTGCGGAAACTCCAAATATGCCTCACAGATGTAATTGTCCATTTTAGCGATTTTCTGAAATGTTCCAAGGCATCCAGCTATGCTGTAGCTCATTAAAAAGAAGATAGAAATGCTGTCATTTAGATTTTTATTTGAGCTTGGTTTCAATTAAAGCAGTTTTTAGACTATCAAGGAAGTTTTGAGCTCTGAAACTTAACCCTCCTGGTATTGTTCATTTGGGAGTCACACTTGAAATGTAACTTTTTAAAATTTATTTTTTCAGTGAAATCAATGTTATATATTTTTGTTCAATAATATTTTATCTTTTGTATTTTGAGAGAATTCCATGGTCGTATTTAATATTTATGCAATAATTATGATACATTTTTCCCATTGAAAATTATACAAAAATGTATTTTCTAAATGTATTTTTTTTTTACTTTTCAGTTATGGCAGTATTTCATGTTAAAATACATACAATGCCTTTAAAACCAGATTAGTTCCATCTGGTGGGAGTAAAAAAAGAAAAACATCTGAAATTCCGTGGTTTAGCCATTAGATTCCTATGGAGCTCTATATGAAAAGCTTATAAATTCTCTAGTTGTTTTTAGACATAAATATATATATTTTTTAATTGTAGATTTGGATTTATATTTGGACATTCTCAAAGACCACTTTTTGTAAAGGTTTAGATTTTTTATTTTTTTTTATGTTGGGTTGAACTCAAAGACCCCTTTTTGTAAAGGTTTAGATTTTTTATTTTTTTTTATGTTGGTTTGAAATGTCAAAGCGTCAGTTTTTGAATTATTACTACAGTCAAACCTGAACACAGAGAAAGAATTTTGTAAAAATTCTATAAAAATGTAACGAAAATTAACAGGAATGTTTTATCAGAGCGTAATAATTCTGGGTCTGATCTGATTTCAACCTCTTATTTCAGTTTTCTGACTCGTTATGGCTATATGGTTATAGCCATACCAATTCATTTGAAAGTGTATAATTGTGTGTGTGTGTGTGAGTGGATGTGCCTGTTTTGCGGATGTTTTAGAGTGTAACTCCTTCCTTGCTGTCCACTTTTTTACTGCATTGTAGTTGAATTGTTGCTTTTATTTTACATATTTGCTGTGTTAGCGTCACATCAGTTCATTGGTGTGTGTGTGTGTGT